CGAGCTGCTAATGCCGGCACAGGACTGGAGGCCAAGCTCCTGTCTGCTTCCAATAATGCAGGAGCTTTCCGTCCCTGCCACCCTTCACCCGGCCCCAGAGAGCACGGCTGTCCCCTGCTCACAGCCCCAGGCAGCCAGGACCACCGAGGACCAGCCCCCTGCCTCCGAGAGGGGCACGGAGGCAGGGGCAGTGTTCTCGGGGGCATCCAGAACACCAGTGGCTACACGGTGAGGGAAGAGGGAGCGGGGCCGTGCTGGGACCCAGAAATGAGTGGTGCCCCAGTTCCTTTCATGTCCTTGCAATTCTGTCACCTTAATAACAATAGTAATACTACCATTTATGGGGCACTTGCTGTGTGCTAGGCCCTGTGCAAAGTGCCACTCCCAGCACTGTCGCATTTAAATCCTCACAACCAGCCTCGCAAGCAGGTCTGCTATCGTCCCCACTTTGTAGGCAAGGAAACGGGGTGCTGAGGAGTCACGCCTTCTCCAGAGTACTTACCCCAGTTTGCCATTATGTGTTTATTCTCATATTGTGCCATTCATCTCTACCTCCCTTACTGGGCTAAAACTCAGGGAGAGACAGGTGGTTTGGTGTTCTGTCCGGCACTATTCACTCAGCACGATGCAGACACACGATAGACAGCTATCTGTTGAATGAATTAATTAAGCCCCATAACTTGTCCCAGGTCCCCCCAGCTGCTGAGTGGCAGAATGGGGCTAAAATCCCAGGCAGTCTGGCTCCAGAGCCATGTCCTCACGCCATCTACCCTGCAGAGAATCCCTGCAGGCCACCACCCTGCTCCCTCCTGCAAACTGCAGGAGACAAAGCTGCCCAGGTCCAAGGAAGGAGCACTCTGGACAGCCAGACTCCAGAAGAGTCCCTTGCAGCACCACCAACACTCACGTGCTTACCTCCCAAGCTCTCTCCTGCCCCACTGGAATCCTCAAACCTTTGCTTGAGCTTCTCAAATAATAATAATAACATCACCCAGTTAAATCACAAAGCATTTTCACACAGCCCTGTGCCAAGCACACCACCAGGCCCTCTACATGCATTCGCTCACTTAATCCTCACCATCAACCTGCAAAGCTGTCATCATCGTCCCTTTTACAGATGGGGAAACTGGGTCTCAGAGCAGATGGAGTGACAGCACCAAGGGCCTGCCACCGGTCATGCAGAGCCCAGCAATAAGCCCAGAGCACCTGCTACTGGAGCCGCCAGCCCCACTTAGAGGCAGCCTCCCCTGCATAATGCAGGTCTCCGCTGCAAGAGACCACAGTACAGACATGGCTGCGGTCTGGCCCCCTGACCCCTCTCCATGACCACCACCCAATCGTCATTTGGAATTCCAAACAGGCTCCTGGCTGTCCTGGGAAGTCTTCCTTGGGCATGCTCACCCAGCCCCGTTGAATGGGGCCTCCAGATTCAGGGGGCCAGACCAGGAAAAGTTAAGGGCCCTCCAGGCCTCTGCAGCAGGCAGGCGAGCTAGGGCAGTGGACAAACTGGCCACGATGCAAGAGAACAGGCCCCCAGAACCTAATGAACAGCAGATCATGATGGGCCCGAGGTGCGAACGGAGACCAAGGGGCCTCCCCCAGGGCCTTTCCCGGCCTTAGCATCCTCAGGCCTCTCCTGTCTCTGCACCCTGCACCCACGAGGGCAATCTGTGACAAATCTAGAATACAAGTGCCTGGGGTGGGTGGGAGAAGCGGTGTCCCCGCATATTACACCCTCTTATCACACTCTCCTGGACGCTCTAGTCTAAAAGACTGTTTTAATTTTTAAAAACTCCAACTGAAAATCAAAGTCGTTGAGTAGAAGAAAAGACAATTAATAGCGGCCGTGGTTAGGTCCCTCTGAGCCTGAGTTCTACAAAGAGATGAAGCTTCCAGGCCTCCTCCACCACACCCCTAACCCTCACTCCGTATTTTAATTGTTCCATTGCAGCGAATTATTCAGCGTCCCTGCCTCACGCAGCCCGCCAGCCCCACAGCCCCTCTGGCTGAACCAATCTCCTCAACAGCTCTGGAGTCTGCATGGCCCTTTCCCAGAAGTCTCCGCAGCAAACCAATCTCTTCCCACTTGGGGGGACAGGCCTGGACCCAGAGTTACGGGATATGTGATCATAAAGTTGCCGGGTCTCATGAGCTGCCATAGAAACTGCCCAGAAGACAAAAGGCGAAGGCACAGCTGCACTCTTTCCCAATTTCACAGCCGCAGAAGCCACTGTCTCAGGCTCTGACACTGCACGACACCCCTATCGATTAGACAGGGCGTTTGCTACAGCTATTTTGGGTCTGCCGGGGCGCTCACCAAGGCCTCTTTTCGGGGTGTTCTATTCCTCTTCAAATGGCTCTTCAGAGGCCTGCCTGCTGCACAGGCTTTCACCGCCTGAGAAGTTTTGCACTCAGCAAAGACCAGACTTCCCCCGGCTTCCCCCTGGTAAGTCACCCCCGGATTCCATCCCTGAAGTCCCCAAAGGAAAAATCCAGAGAGAGACAGAGAGAGAGAGAGAGGACTTCCTGACTCTTCCTCACCTTCCCAACCTCAAGCCCTGTCACATCCCACTGGATGTGACACGCTGCAGCCCCGGGACAAAGCCGGTCCACTCAGCCATCAGGCTGGCACATGCACACCTGCAGGCCTTTTGCCCGAACGTTCCCTCTATTTGGGCTGCCTGCCATCTCTGCTTGGCATACTCCGACCCAGCCACTATTGGGTCCCAAAGTATGCTAATAAAATGGCCCATCCTCTGAGAAGCCCCTTCCCTCCAGAAGAGTGCTTCCCACCCCAATGCTCCCCACCACAGCCCCATCACACTGCCAGCCTGGCCCTCTCCCAAGAGCTTCCAGTTATGTGTCCCCTGCCTGGTCCTCTCGCCTGTATATCTCTTGAAGGCAGGGACTTGCTCACTCCCTGCTGGAGCCTCAGCACCGAGGGTAGTTCCTGGCTCTGTTACACATTTGCTGAATTAAATAGAGACTTTTCTCCTGATCCTATCACAATAATACCTCTCACTTAGTAAACATAATGAACCAGGATCCTTTCCATATATGATCTTCGGTCCTCACAAAAACCATCAGCAGCCCCATTTTCTGGATGGAAAGTAACAAAGGCTCAGAGAAGTAACTTGCCCAAGGTCACACAGCAACCTCAGCAGTTGAAGGCCCAACTCTCTTTTGCATTAGGAAATTTCACTTCCGTTCCACTCTGATAGCAAAAGCGTTCAAGAGTAACTGAACGCCAAAACTGACACTGTCCTCAAGACTAAAGGTGGAGAGAAAGAGCAAGGAATGAGATGACTTCAGCATTCAGGTCCAAAGGCTAAGGCAATGGGCTACCGTGTCACAGACCTAGGCTGTCATCAGCATAACAGCTGCAAGAAAAATGCCCTGTGGATGCAGCAAAGGAACAGAGAATAGGTCCAGGACAAACAGGTGTGGAGGGCGACCCTGCAACCTCAGGGGTCCTCTGGGCAGATTCCTGACCCTCAGTCCCTCTCCATAGCCACACAGGGTAATGCACAGGCTGCCCCAAGGAAACCTGATTCTGTCCAACCTCTCCCCATGCCAGCATCTCTCCGCAGCCCCACAACACACATGTACATACACACACACACACACACACACACACACACACACACACACACACCAATTCCCATCTAGATTGCATCTAGATTGCAAATTCTCTGAAACCTCCATGGGAATTTTTCAGACTCAGCCAAGAAGAGTCGGGGGCAAACGTGTGTTCACTAATTGCTGACCTTGGTACAGAGTTTGATCCGGGAGATAGCTCTCCCCAGGGTCAGATTTCTGCCTTTGGCCAGCTGGGAGCTGTGAAAATGCGCTCAAGTTATCGAGATATGTACGCCTTTCCTGAGAGCCATTGCAGTTGCCCAGGAGTGTGGGGAGAAGGGGCAGGCAGGTTTCAAAGGAGCTGGCAGCCTTCTCCAAAGTCCAGTTCAATAATCTCCCAAAGCAGTCACCTCTGCAGGCAGCACAAAGACCCTGCATGTGACCAAAAATCTACACACATGGCCCATGTACAGGGACTCTCACAACCTCCCACTACTGAGGTGACACCATGGGTACTAGGAATTCACACAGACACACATTCTGCAGGAGAATCTGGAGAAACAAATGATATAGATCCATACACACACACACACACACACACACACACACACACACACACCCTACAAAGCTCAGCCCATCTAGAAAGGGCTGAGTTTTCTCAAGAATTTAGAAGTAAGAGACAACAGGGGAAGATGAATTATTTTCAAATGACTTCATGGTCCATGTCTCTACTCCAGGCTCCCGACCCCTCAGCATTATCACACCTACCCTTTTCTGGGTGTCGATGTAATATACCCCAGGCCCCAAACCCAAATCCCTCACGTCCCATTGTCTGCCTCGGTTAGGGATGGCTGGATGTGAGGTGGGGGGGACCAATGCCTGACACCTGCAAGAGAAGAATTCTTAAGGCTCTGGGGCAAACAATGGGGAGGCAGGGGAAGACTGGAAACTTCAACTCCATCCCATCTTGCGGCCCATCACCTGCCTGCTAGCCCACAGAGCCCAGTCCACACATGCAGCTCAGACCACAGCCCAAGCCCCATGTGCCCAAAAGAAGACATGGTGCCTGGCAGTGCGAGGAGCTTCCCCCCTGAGTGCCAGGAAGGCTTGCTGGCACCAAGTCACAGGCACCCTGTAGGAATCAAGTGCTGGCGCAGTGGGAATGGCCTGCCAGGGCTAAGGGCAGGGTGCAGGGGTGAGGATGGGAGCTGACAGCCCCGCCAGGGCCCTTTGAATCCCGGGAAAGGGAAACCCGGGTGCTCCTGGCTCCTGGCTCAAGAAGGACCGCGGCAGGCACTGACCCGTCTATTGGCCACAGAGCCCGGGCCCCAACAGTGCTGCCCCACCCCAGCCCTGAACTCGTCTTGGTGGGAGGGTAACCGCGGGGCTCCCTGAGCGCTGGGGATGGGGGCCGTACTCACAGGCGCTCCGTGTTCCGTGGGATGTTCTTTGGGATGGCCTGCAGCCCCGTGCCGTGGCAGTCCACCGTGGTGCCGGTGCAGGTGCAGAGGGCGGGGCACGCGGTGGCACCCAGGCGCCACGCGGCTGCCCACAGCAGCAGCCAGAGCTCGGGTCGGACGAGCCCCGCCGAGGGCCCCCTCCCGGGCGTCAGCGCCATGGTGCCCTCACCGCGTCCCGCTGGTGTGTCAGACGGCGGCAGCCGCTTACCATCCCCGTCCGGGGCGGCCTCCAGGTGCGGTCCCGGGGCAGCGCCACCGAGGAGACCGCGGGCTCGTACGCGATGCCCTTGCGGGCTGGGAGGCACCTTGCTCCTCCAAGCGACGGCTCCTGTGTGCGGACCGAGGGAGGGCGCCTTGGGCGGAGGGCGCTCGGCTCCTCTCCGGTTTCTCGCTGGCTGCGTCTGTCTCCCTCTCTCCCTCCCTCCAGCTCCCAACTGACTGCTGCGAGGAGGAAAATGGGCAGGCCCCGCGCGCGCACGCACCCTGCGCACACACACACACACACACACACACACACGCACAATCACACACTCACACCCGCACGCTCGCTCCCACCCGGCAGTCATCCATCAATCGAAAAGCACACATCCAGGGCCAGACTCCTCCCCGCCCTCCCCCAGCAGCCCCCTCCCCCGCCTCCCGACGACGACCACTCGGCGGCGGCTGCTGCGAGCAGCGTACAGTTTCAAAGGTGGAACCTCCGAGGCGCCGCGAGCGGGCAGGGGGCTACGGGGGAGGGGATGGGAGGATGGCCACCGCTCAACCTGTCCAGTCCTGGCCCTGGCCGACTACACACACACACACACACCCCGCGAGTATGTGCACACTTAGACCCAAGCACTCGGAACCCGCAGCCCCAGCAGCTGTGCCAGAGCGAGGGGGAGATCTTATTTTGCCCCCTGGACCCCCTTCCCCAGGGCCACAGACATGCTTTCCCCGACGTCAGAAACGCGTCCCAGGCCCCACCAGACTTGCTTTGTGAATACTTGGTGAAAGGAAGCTCCACACCCCAGCTCTCCAAGCTACCTACCTTACTTAGCCTTGGACTTTGAGGGCAGAGCCTTGGGGGGGGGGGGGGGGGGGAGGCGGAATGTACAACAACCCTAGGCTAAGTACAGTCTTCTCCCCTGTCTCCACCAAGATGGCAGCAACCCACTTGTCTGAGAAGACAGCAGCTACCTGCTCCCTCATGAAAATGGCCCTGATGTGGACATTTGCTCGTCGGGGAGATGTTATTTCTGCCCAGTCGGCTACACTGGCTTCCCAGGTGGGGATGCAGGGTTTGGGCAGAGTATCAGTGGGGGTTGGAAGTCCAACCCACACTCACAGCAATATTCTTCCATTTCTGACAGATGAAAACGAATATTCGGTCCTGCCATCAGAGGGCTGCAGACGGGGCTGGAAGAGGGCTGGGTGGCCTGCTTGGGAGAGAAGCTCCTTCCACGGTCCACCCATGTCAACCCCCCAAGCCTCTTACCCTCCTTTGGATAGGGACTTTTCTTACTCCAAGGCAGGTGTAGACACAGGTGTGGGCATGGGTGTGAACAGGAAATCCAGAGAGGGAGAGAATTATCCTCAAGCCCAGAAAAGATGAAGGACCTCTGGAAAATCAAGAACAGCTGTGGTTTGCTACCCAGACATCTTTTGTCCATCGTCCCCTGATTCCCGGCCACTTACAGGCGCTGGCAAGAAGAAACAGTTAAGCAGTTCCAGAAGCACCTCCCTTCCCTGGAGCTGGCTACCTGGGTTTCCCCTCGGGAGGAACCAGAAAGAAAGGTAGCTGGTCCAGGAGGTGCCAGGGGTAGGCACAGCATGGATACAGCTTGTGGGGGGCGTGGGGGATGTGGCTAGTCTCCACGAGATTAAAGCCTTATCCACCAGGTATCCAAAGACTTGGTGGGGGCGGGGGGGGGCTTTGTTTTTCTTTTCCACCTTGATGAAAATTTTACTATCTCCCCTGTCATAGCAGAGATAGAACTGTGGCCAGTATGTCACAACTAGTGTGACTGGTGTTATGGGCTTTTGACAGTTCTTTTTCAGGTTTTTACACACTGCTCTCCATGACCTCCATCCCAGGCCATGGGTTCTTCAGTATCAATCAAATGACAACTTGAGGGATAGGGCCCTTCTTGGGGGTCCCCAGGGGCTGTGACCTTAGAGAAGCTTCCCACACATTAAACCAGGACTCCAGCCTACAAGAGCCTCCTCACTCCTCTCCCTCACCAATTTCTGCTGCTTCTCCGCAGGGCGCTCAGCCCCCTCCTCTCACAGGCCCTGCCAGCTGCCTCAGGCAGAGTTAAATCCTCATTCCACTGAGCCTGCTGCTTTGTTTACCCCCTCTTAGCTGGAGCTGTTTACACATGTGGCTCCTTCCCTGACACTCCTCCTGGGGCAGAGCCTCCCTCTCCCCCACGGCTTACTTATTTCCTCGCTTTGGCAATTAACCCAGCACCTGGCACTTAGTAGGCCTGTCACAGACGGCACTCAGACTGTTGAAGATGTCCAGTTTCCAACCTTCTGCTCCAGCGGTGCCTCCCCAGCCCGGTGACCTCAGAGGGCTCCTCAGAAGCCAGGACCCATGTGGGGAAGAGGGATAGTGTTGATTAACTGGGCCACTTGCCCTGGGGGCTTCAGAGTGGTAGGGTGATGGGATGGAGGGAGGGGTGGGAGCCAGCAGGGGGCTGCAAGATCAGCCCTGCCCGTGTCTCCCAAGAGCCAGCCAGTGCCCTAGAAGCTTCTAGACTGGCCTGGACAGTGAATCCCAAATTGTCACCACCTGGCAAAGCCTGGCGTTTCCTATAAAGGGGAGGGAAGGAAGGGGGCCCCCTCAGACCCAGGACAAAGACTCCCCACGCCAGCCTAGTCATGGGAGGCCCTGCCCCAGCAGCCAGGCAGCTCCCCAACTTGGCTCCTAGCCCCAGTTCCTCCACCCCAGAACCTGGCTGGCTCCCCAGTTTGGGAGGCAGCTAGCCATGAATGAACGCAGCTCATTAGCGTTCCTAGCACATTTACTCTTGAAACAACCGCCTGGCCAGCCGCTCACCCACCACCCCCACTCTGCTTTGCTGGTTCAGTTTCCTCTCCCAGGCCCCTCCCTCTGTTGGATCTCCCTGCCCCCTCCCTACAGCAAGGCCACCTGCTCCCTCTGCACGGGTGGGGAGGAGGCAGCCTTGTCATACTGCTTCTGCCAGGAAGGCTCTGCCAAAGCCCACTGGCTACCGTCAGGGCAACCCGGGATGGCGGGGTGGGCGGGGGGGACTGGGGGCTGGGTCTCCCCATCCCAGTGGTGGGCATCTCCTCCAGCCCCCTCAGCCATGCGTGCTCAGGAGTTGAGGGCCACCTCCCGCCTGAGACCGGGGAAACCTCTGGGGAGTGTCTCCTTCCAGCTTTCTGCACAGGGCCCTCTCCTCCACCTCCACCAGCCCTTCTGAGGCACCGAGAAGCAGAGCACCTGGGTGAGGCTGCAGAGCACTGCGGTTTGGATTTCTGGACTGCAAACGGCAAGAATGAGACAAAACGCCTGCCATCTGGGCGTTCGTTCAACACCATCTATTAAGTATCTATGTATTATGTACACTGTCCTGGGACTTGGCACTTCAACAGAGAATAAGAACTGCCCTGGCCTGCCCTGAGCTCCCAGTCCAGTGGGGAACAGAAAGAGGAAAGCCCACTCTGCATGATTAGCTTGGTAAGAAGGAGTGTGGAATTGCAGAGAAGCCAGAGTGTGGCGCTCAGGGTAGGGCCAGAAGGCTTCCTGGAAGAGGAGGCACTTGAGCTGAATCTTGAAGGATAAATAGGCATGGGCTGGGCAGCAAAACAGGAAGAAAGCCTTTCTGGGTGAAGAGAAGTACAAAGGAAAGGCACACAGATTGTGGCAGCATCTCAGTGGCTGAGCTGGGGCAAGTTCAGCAAGGCTAAAATGTGGCAGGTGTTCGAGTGGGAAGTGCAGGTAGAGATCTTAGAGATGGCAGGTGGGGCAGGGGGGGAGGAGGGCGGACATCCGAGAGGCCCTGGTGCAGCCATTCTGGCTTTACTGGGCTTGCAGAAGTCCCTGGCCTGTCCCCATGCTCAAGCACAAGCGCATATATGTAGGTGCCTGCAATGCACTATCCCTGGAACCAGTGACCCAGAGAGGACAGGATGATGGCAGACGAACAGTTTCAGCATATGCTTTTTTTTTTTTTTTTTTTACTGTTAGGATTTTTTTTTAGCTGTATAGTATGACTTAACCTCCCCATCACCACCAAAACATTTTTAAATACCTTTGTATGCTTATTATAAATGCCAATTCCCAGGACCCACCCCAGACTTTCTTAATCAAACTCTTTACTGTTAACACACTGGGGAGTGAGAAAGTATGATTCTGATGCGGGTTCCGGGGACCATGCTCTAGAGCCTGGTGTGCTGAGTTAATCAGTTTGAACTTGGACCTGAAAACTCTGGGAGCCACTGAAGGAAGGGGCCCAGTGAAGACGAAGGGTCTGAGGCCTGTCTGCCTTCCTCATCTCCAGTCTCCACACACTCTTAGCAAAGATGAGACACATCAAAGAGAAAGGCAGCCATGGGGGACTGGCAGGGAGAGGACAGAGCCACGTGGCAACGGATGCGTAGTAGTAGCTTCAATCACAAGATGTCACAGCTGGAAGGGGATAAAGAAATCATCAAATCCAAACACCACCATACAGTTGGCAGCTCAGAGAAGTGAAGCAACCAACCTAACCTCACAGGGCAAAGGAATGGCAGAGCCGGGCCATGACTGAGGCTGCATCTTGATCTGCTAGGCCACACACCTGAGAAGAACACAGCATCTTGTCCATCCTGGGCACTCCTCCTGACCCTACAACCCCCACAGGGACTGAGAAGCCAGAAGTCTCCAGGGAAGTGGTGCCAGCAGGGCTCAGGATATGGTAGCTTTCATCTCTAAACCCCTTGAGGCACTCCAACTTGAAGGAGGCTGGACTGCTTGAGGCTTTCAATGACAAAGCCTAAAGCAGAAACAAGCTCCTAGACTTAAGATCAGTGGCTTTTCTAGAGGCTACCATATGCATCCAGGACAGATGAGAAGCAAGAGACACGCAGAGGGGAGAGGGAAGAAAGGAGAGGTGATGAAGACAGAAAGCAGGGGGCAGAGTCTGTGCAGGCAGCCATTTGATCATTCATTTATCAGACACTGATTGCATGCGGACTGTGAGCCACGCATTGAAATACAAGAGATTTTTTGCTTGGGATTCATTGGGCTTCTTGTATCTTGCTCATGGTTTAATTCAAATTTGATGTTTTCCATCATTATTTCTTCAAAAGCTTTTTACATCCCCTCCTTTCTTCACCTCTGGGGACCCCAAGTACACATATGTTGGGCCACTTGACGTTGTCCCAAAGGTCACTGATGCTCTGTTCATTTTAATCTTCTCTGTGTGTTTCATCTTGGTGAGTTTCTACTGTTGTGTTTTCACGTTCATTATCTTTTCTTCTGCAGTGACTAACCTGCTGTTAAGCCCATGCAGTGCAGTTTTATCTCAGACATTGTGGTCTTCATCTC